GGGAGGGGGGGGGAGTCGGAACACTCTCATTGTTGTGTTATCGGAATCATCATCTTGCCATTCTTGATGAACTACATCAGGCGGCCACCAATGCGCAGAGCAGGGTTAGGTATGCGCAGAGAGGCCGACGAGCTGATGCGTCAAGGAGCTCGGGAGTCGGGTCGGACACGGCAGATGCGCGCGCCTTGAGACCCGGTCCGTCATGTTGAGGCGATGATGAGCACGGGGAGATATGAGTGGGTGGAAAAGTCACGGCCAATCAGGCCATAGAAGAGGATGTCGCGCCGCCGGCGGCAAAGGAGCCAGGGATGACGGCCGGATCGGTAAGGAGCTCTTGGATGAGCGGCGCCATGGACGAGGGCTTGCGCGGCGGCCGTAGCGGCGGACAGGCTCGCCCTTGGCATTGAAGACAAAGTGAGTGAAGTTCCACTTGATGCTAGTGCCAAGAGTCGACTTGAGCTGCGACTTGGCCCAGCGGTAGAGCGGATGGGCGCCGGCGCCGTTGACCTCATACTTGGTCATGAGGAGAAAGTCCACGGCAGCAGAAACGCCCCAGTCCTTGTCGTCAAGGAAAGCGATGAGCTCGTTCGGGTTTTCGGCGTCGAACGGCTCTTGATTGCCAAACTGGTTACATGGTACACCCACGATGACAAGACCCTGCTCGTGAAAGCGATTGTGGAGGTCAACGAGCCCCTTGTAGCGGGACTCGGTCAGGCCTCAGAACGACGCCACATTGGTGACGATGACGACCTTGCCACGGAGGGCGCCAAAGTCGAACGGCTCGTGGAAGAGCGTGTCCATGGAAAAGTCGTAGAGCGTCGAGTCGGGCGTCGAGTCGCCCGTGGCGACGGTGACGTGGTAGAAGAGCGGCTCGTCCTTGATCTTGTGGTCGCCGACGACGTGGGCAAAGATCTCGGCGTTTTCCATGCGCTTCGCGACCGAGAGCGCCTTGGGTCGCGAGCACTTGAGCTCGACGCAGAGCCAGTCGATGAGCTCCGAGCCGAGGAAGCACTGCTTGTAGGTGCGGAGCCGGTACTTGCGGTCCTTGATCTCCACCGGCGGATGCTTGGCAAAGGTGTCGGCGAGGAGCTTGATTTCGCGGTCGCGGGCTTCGGCCTCGTTGACTGGCGACTCCTGCGCCGCACTGCCGTCGTCGCCAAACAGCGCGGGATCGATGTTGAGTGCACGGACAGCAATGTCAATGAGCTCCATGTCAGTCGGGCCCTCGATGTCCTCGCCGCCGAGGTTGGCGACGCAGCCAATGAGCTCGTCGGCGCCAACAGGCGCAAACGAGTAGAACAGCTTCTCGTCAAGAAACGGCTTCTCCGGGTCGACCACATGCGCAAAGAGACCCTGGTCCATCAGCATCTGGCCGAGCGCCACGGCACGGGCGCGGGCCATGGTCGACGTGTAGTCCATCACTGCATAGTACGTCAGGATCCAATCCACTAGCTCGCTTCCCACAAAGCACTTGCGGAATCGGCGCATACGCCAGCGGCGATCGCAAACCTCGACGCCCTCGTCCGAGTCGCGCATGACGCGAACGAGTTCTTGGACCTGTCGCGTGCGATAGCGTGACGGCCAGTATGGTGACCAAACCAAGTTGATGGCCATTGTGCGACGATGAGTACCAACGATCATCGCCAACGATGAGCGCCAACGATCAGAATGGCGACCAGCGCAAGACCACCAAGACCAGCACGAGGTTCCCGGCATCGCCATCACAACACACAGCACACACAGCACATACAGCACATACAGCACATACAGGCAGACAGTCATTCACACAGATGACAGATGGACAAATATATACGAACACGCGCACACACAGTGAGTCATGGCCATGGCCGGGGAGAGAACCGAGCTTGTGGCAGGTGGGGGGGGGGGGGCCA